CCGTCGTCGTTAGTTTAGTTTGGTTACGTAACCCTACCGGTACGGAACTAGTAAGTAAATTTACTTCCGTTCGTTACTTACTTTTCTTTTCTTTTAAGTTTTTTAAAAGTTTTTTTTTTTTTCATTGAGCATAATTTTAGGCTAAAATGATAACTACTAAAGTTTATTAATAAATTGCTGTAGTTTTAGGTAAATTAGTTTTATTCTAAGTGCTTTACTTTTATGGTTTCTTTTACAACAAATAGGAGTTAGTTTGGTGGTTCAAGTGTTCACTATATTCTTTGTATGAACCCATAAAAACAAAACATTGAGGTTAAAACAAATTCATCGTGAGGTTTATTCTGTTAGTTTGTTAAATCGCTACTGAAAACAAGAACCTCAAAGTATTTCTGGAACTTTAAACAGCACTGTCACAATTCAGAGTGCTCAAACTGTTTTCAGAAGATTAAACATATATAAACAATTTATTTATTTCAAAAAAAAAAAGTTAACCTCAAAACTTTGCTTTTTAAGCAAAAAAATGAGTATTTTAGGATGTGTAATAATACTGTGAGAAACATTTTGCAAATTACAATACAAAATTTTAAGCTTGTTAAAAAAAACCAAAATATCTAGGATCCAGTTCCTGACAAAATTAAGATTGGGCAGGTGTACCCATGAAGATCTTTTATTTATCTAAGAAAGAAATATGTACTTTAGCGAAATTCATATAAGTTTAGCTACCTTATGTATTTGAAAGTGGTTCCCAACCCAAAGAGTAACAATTGAGTTGCGTGCAATAGCATGCGTTAAATGGAAAAGTTCCTTTCATACGTCCTTGCTTATCAAGTATTACCATGTGAATGATACGGCAAAGCATTCTTAATGGGAATATAGCCACATATACAAGCCTTCTAAAGTGATTGAACAATTTAAGAAATTTTTTTCAATGCTTTCCCATCTCCAACACCTGATGACTACTTACAGAAAGGGGGTCATTGGTCCAAGAAGGATATCACGTATTTGACTGGGAGCATCTCAAGACTTATCTTATGATGCCTCAGATAAATAATTTCTTTTCTCAGCATTGCGTCCAGTCCTTTTAAGTTTTGACAAAGACACTGTCGTACGTTACAGAGCCTGTTACTCCTAACAAGATTTAGTTATATGATAATGTTTTTAGTTCCAAAATTGTGCAGATCACTTCAACATTTGTAAGGGCTCTCTTTGATTATCAGACTGGGGGGTTGAAATTCATGCCAAAGTTACCAGTTTGCTGGTAGGTAGGGTCTTAGTGGTACAAACTCACGATTGAACTCTTTGTCTTCACGTATTATCATCAGATTAGATACTGATCCGTGAAGAAAGTTGAATGTTTTAGTACTAAAGCTTATCTGACACAGATGTTAGAGGCACTGCCAACTCATTTACAATACACAACTGGTTACCTGATTTGTAACTTTACTTTGTAGCTAAGTCTTATCCATGCTGTATATATATATATATATATATATATATATATATATATATA